ATAATGACGAGTTTTGCGGCTCCCAGTTTTTTTTTCTTCGGAAACGGGTCCAAGTGGCTCTTTTTGTCTTAAAGGTTGCAGACCCCTGGCGTAGGCCTAGTGAGCACAGCAACTCTTCCCAGCAGGTCTTGCCCCGGTGAGGCGGTTGTGAGGACGGAAATTCCCCATCTTCTACCACTTTCTAAGGCTCCTCCCCAGGGCCCTTTCCCAGCAAGCTGAGACTCCTTCGTCTTGTCACTCTTTGCTTCACCCTCTTCATGCCTCTTCTGGTTCTGGGAGACCAGGAGGGAAGAGGAGCTGGTCACACAGCAGGAGGGGGAGACTCCCTGGCTTCTTCAGCAGACTGGCCACCCCCTCCTCTCCAGCCTCTGCTTCTACCTCTGAGTCTGAACCGCTCTCTGCCACTGCATCTTATTGCTCACTAAACCCTGTTCCCTCTTCATCTTCGGACACTTCCTCCTCCCAGCCTGCTCCCTCTGGCTAGTCATCGCCATCCCAGCAACACTCCCCTGGCTCTGAGCCTCCTTCCCTTGAGGGTTCACTTGCCTGAAAGTCTGGAAAGCTGCTGCCAGTCAGTGTGTAGACAATACTGAACTAGACAGACCAATGGTTGGACTCAGTATATTGCAACTTTCTACTCTATACAGCACAGAACAACTCTCAGATTCAGAGTCTCCCTCGCTCCTCCATCCTCTTCTGAAATGATTCACACACGGATGGAGATTAAAGAAGGGAGGGAGAGCAATGGGGATATATAGACTCTATATTATGGAGAGGGAAACAAGAGTATTGGGGAAGGGGGCGGGGGCTTTACTCCTCCCCTTCCAGTCTCCAGACCACTAACTCAAAGGGGATTATGGAAAGCAGGGTAGGCTGGGGGGCTGAGGATTAAGCCCCCTCCCCTCATTGGGGCCACCTTTGGATTTCAATAGCCCTGCAATCCTCAGGATCTACATTTGAATGGGATCCAGCTACTTCCCATTCTCCTTGCAACTCCAAATCCACGGTCTTGGTGTATGGAGCCAGTGGCCTGGGGGGGCAGGGAGGGAAGGAGGTGGCAGCCTCAGCAGTACATTCAGATAATTTTAGATTCTGGACCAGACTGAATGGTTTTTCAAGTGTGGGGGGGGGCGTGAAAACAAGCGTTTTTATACCCCACCTGTCCTCCAAGGAGCTCAAGGTGGCAGAAAGGTTATTCTCCCCTCCTTTAGTTTAATCCACAGAGCAACCCTGTAAGGTAGGCTAAGCCTAGAGGCAGGGACTGGTCCAAGGCCACCATAACCGTCTGTCTGGCAGGCTACACTTCTACCTTTATGGGTCCACCTAGCCTAGAAGACGCGCTTTGGTGGTTAGAAGGCTGGACTAGGACCTGGGCTCAAATCCCTGCTCAGCCATGAAGTCCACCGGGTGTCCAGTCTTACGGCCTACGCTACCTCTCAGGGTTGTTTGGGAGGGCGAAAAGGAGAGGAAGAGAATCACGGGTGCCAGCCTGAGCTGCATGGATTTAAAAAAAGAAAAGAAAGGTGGGAGATGAATGTCATAATAAAAGTAACGAATGCTGCATCTAACTTGCGCTTTTTCTGCGGAGGCCGCAAGTCAGGGAAAGAAGGTGATAAGATGCTTCCCTTGCTGCCTGTCTGAGTAGTGCATCCTTGGGGGGGGATTTGCAGGGGGGGAGGCTGTGTGCCTTAACCCGCTCTTTGCCTCTGCCAGGCTGCCGGCAGAAAGAGAAAGAGAGAGAGATCCAAGGAAATGCCAGCCGAGGTGTGAAGAGAGATGGAGAAGGAGCCCCGGTGAAACCACGGATCTGGAGGGAGCGGCTAGACGGCAGGCGGCGGCAGGGAGGCGGCTGGCAAGCCTCTCTGCAGGCTACCTAAGGGAGCCGACCTTTGGCCCTGCCTCGCCTGGCACGCGGGCAGAGATTCTGGCTTGCTAGGGGAAGGAGGAAGAGAGGCGTTTTTCTGCATGTGGGAAATCAAGCAGGGAGGGAGGCTGGTTATAGCCACCTTTGCTCGCCTCTTCGTAGAAAATAAAAAGGCTTCCCAAGCAACTAGCAGCATGCCACAGATGTTGTTGTTGTTTAGTCGTTTAGTCGTGTCCGACTCTTCGTGACCCCCTGGACCAGAGCACGCCAGGCACTCCTGTCTTCCACTGCCTCCCACAGTTTGGTCAGACTCATGTTTGTAGCTTCGAGAACACTGTCCAACCGTCTCGTCCTCCGCCGTCCCCTTCTCCTCGTGCCCTCCATCTTTCCCAACATCAGGGTATTTTCCAGGGAGTCTTCTCTTCTCATGAGGTGGCCGAAGTATTGGAGCCTCAGCTTCAGGATCTGTCCTTCCAGTGAGCACTCAGGGCTGATTTTCTTAAGAATGGATAGGTTTGATCTTCTTGCAGTCCATGGGACTCTCAAGAGTCTCCTCCAGCACCAGAATTTAAAAGCATCCATTCTTCGGCCATCAGCCTTCTTTACGGTCCAGCTCTCACTTCCATACATCACTACTGGGAAAACCATGCCACAGATAAAAGGCAGTTTTAAAACGGAGGATTTCAAAACACACCAAACAATAAAAATGGAGTGGATTCCCCGTGAAGGAAGGCTGCAGCGTTTGGGGCTCTTAGAGAAAAGGCCGAGCAGCAGACACCGTGAAAGAAGTTCAGAAAATGATGTGTGGCATGGAGAGAACGAATAAAGTTGCTTTCCCTCTGACGTAACACAGCAGTACCTCAATTTTCGGACATCTCCATTTCCGAACATTTCAGTTTTCGAACGCCGAAAACCGTGAAGTAAATGCTTGTTTTCGAACGCGCCGCAGACTTCCGCCGCGTGTATCTGTTGTTTTTCACAATTTTCTCTATTGAATTGGCAGACCGCCCTTTGTACCTCGGTTTTCAAATATTTCGGAAGTCAAACGGTCTTCCGGAATGGATTATGTTCGAAAACCAAGGTACCATTGTAGTAGAAATCGTGGCCACCCAATGAGGCTGAATATCTGAACATTCAGGATAGATAAAAGAAAGTGCAGGCAAATCTCCATTTACACGGGAGTTGCATTTCATTTAAGTGAAATCACGTATATTTGAAACACCGTTGGAAAAGCCTGCAAAACACCCCATTCCGCCCCTTTTGGGGTCACTTCCAGGTTCAGTTCGATGTGCGAATGTGCGGTTGTGCACATATTGAAGAGGCATAAATGGCATGTTGGCTGCATTTTCTTTCTAAAAAGAAGGAAAACAAAGAGAAAAGTGGTGCACACCAGCGGCGTAGCGTGGGTTGTCAGCACCCGGGGCAAGGCAAGTAATTTGCGCCCCCTAACCCGGGGCAAGGCAAGTAATTTGTGCCCCCTAACCCGGGGCAAGGCAAGTAATTTGCGCCCCCCTAACCCCTAACCTGCCGCCGCTGCCAGCTTCTTCTTGCTGCTGCCTGGTCTGGTCTGGTGTGGTTCTCTCCCGCGCTCAGCGCTGTGCTGGGTGGCCGCTGCACCGTCCCTCCCCCAGATAGTCCCTCGCGCTCTCTCCGCACCGCACGCCTGGCACCCACCCCCTCCACAGTGGGCGGCGACCCAGCGGCTCGGATCGGATTCGCACAGCCAGCACCGCAGTGAGAGAGAGTGAGTGAGCCAGGTAGGGGCAGAGAGCTGCGAGTGCAAGCGCCCCCCCCAGATGTTGCGCCCGGTGCGGCCGGCCCCCCCTGCACCCCCCACGCTATGCCACTGGTGCACACAAACACACAGAGCCATCTGACACAGTTACCTGTTAACCCTTGTCCCACACAAAAGGTAGTGGACCCTCCCAGCTCTCACCTGGGTGCTTCCCTTCCTTCTCCCAGCCTCCCACCCTGGGAGACCTTCCCTTCCTGCCTGTCGCGCAGGGTCCTTCATCATCCACCCATCACCTTCCTGTGTATATCCTCATTAAGTCTGAGTAGAGGACATCAAAAAAACCGATCAAAACATGACTATAGGTCGAGTTAACAGAAGAAGACAGAAGCTAGAAATCATAAAAAACAAAAAGGGAGATGACTGGATTTTTAGAGGTTTTTTTACACGTACGTAAGTGTAGCAACAAATGCATAAATAATCCCTGATTTCCATCTCTTGCCGATTTTAATACAAGCTGGGACCTGGCTAGGAATGACCCAGGAATGTGGCCCTCCTAGATGCTGCTGGGCTCCATCTCCCATCTATCCTGATCATTGGCAATTCTGGCTGGAGGGCTGATGGGAGATGGAGTCAAGCCGCAGGTCCCCCCAGTCCCGCCTTCAAAGAGCACAACTCAGCCAAAGCCCCCAGGGAGGTAGGGGTTAACAATGTCCTCTGCCCAGGTCTCATGTCTGAATGAGTCAGTGGGCAAAGCCAAGCAGTGTTTTTGGCCCAGGGGCAAGTTGCACCATTCAGTTGCTCAATGGATGTCAATTGCTGATCTGGAAAGTCAGATAGCGCAGCAACAAATCAAAGCTCCTGGGAAGCTTTCCTGACTGTTAAGGTTCCCCCCACCCCTTCCTGGCAAACCACTCTTTCCCTTCCAAGTGCCAAGGAATCTGTAGCCAGTGCATTCCTGTAGGAAACATCACTCTGGGCTAAAAATTAACCGGGGAAATAAATTTACAATGGTGCAGGTTTCTTGGCAAGGGCTGGTGAGAACTCGTGGGTGCTGGGAAAGCAGCCCAGCAGGCAGAAATTCAACTGGAGGAGCATGGGAAGGAACAGAGGAAACTGACATGTTCACCCATCTAGATCAATGTTGCCTGCACGGACTGGCAGCAGCTCTCCATTGTTTCAGACCGAGAGGCTTTCCTTTGCGCTACCTGTAGATGCAGCTTTGTGAAGGGCAAGCTACAGATCCCAGGATTCTTTGGGGATGGGAGGGAGAATGTGCTTCAAATGTACAATATGTTCACTACTGTATAGTGCTGTCCCCAACTAAGTTATACTCAAGAGTCAATCCATCGAAATCAGTGGATCAAATAAAATAAAATAGATTTATTCAACTGTTTTTAGTTGGCGGCACAATGGGTCAGCGCACCTGGCTGTTAACCAGAAGGTTGGTGGTTTGAGCCCTCCCAGAGATGGCTGCGGGAAGGATTCCTGCACAGAGCAGGTTGGTCTAGATGACCCCTGGGGTCATTTCCATCTCTACAATTCTATGGTTCTGTTTAATGTGTTTATAGCTCACCTTTCCCCAAGCTGGGATTCAAGGTGGCTTCCAGCATTTAAAAACATCGTTCCAGAATACAAAAACACAAAAAACCCAAACAGGTTAAAAAGAATAGTGAAAACGTACCAGAACACAATCAGAACCTACAATTAAAATACAGTTTGCCCTGAAAGCAGCCCAGTGGCCAGCACTGCTGGCACCTTAGTTTCCAAAGGCCTGTCTGAACAGGATGGTTGGCCTGGTGGCGGAAGGATAACCAAAAGCAGGAGGACAGCCAATTTGATAGCCAATGTCAGTGATGGAAGCATAGCCAATTTGACCTCTCTTGCTAATTCCACAATTTTGGAGCAGCCATGGAAAAGTCTCTCTCTCTCTCTCTCTCTCTCTCTCTCTCTCTCATCACCAACTTCCATTCTTCTGATGTCAATGGGAACCAGAGAAGGTGCTCACCTGAAGATCTTAGCACCCAGGCAGGTTTGTATAGGGAGATACAATCTTTCAGTTAGCTATATCTATTAATTTCAATGTGTCTGGTTCTGAGCAGGTCGAGCGTACAACCCTTAATTACTTTCACTGCAATCTCTTGTCTGAATTGAGCTGCCCTGGATGTGGGCCATAACAAACAATAAATGCACTTTGCCGTGTCCTCGTGAACCTCAGCGCAGAGTGTGCTCTTTATATACATGCGCGCACACCCTTCCCTGTCAGAAACTGTGAGCGCCCAGAAGCAGGCCAACCTATCAGCAATCCAAGTAATTCCCAACAGGAAGTAGAAACAGGTGCCTCTGGGTTTGTTTGGTTTCCGTCTTTACTTTTTCCTGTCTTGATTCCCTCCCTGGCTGCCGGCAGCTCTGTCTGGGATCGGAGCCCTCGCTGCTAATTAGCCGGTGATTAATTGTGGCGGGGCCAGGATATTGATGGCGCCTGCCATTCCCCAATCGGATTCATGTCGCTTAACGGACTGACAACAGTGGTCGAAAGGCTGGATTGGAGAGACCCGCTAATGTTTCCTTTCCTAGGCTGCCCAGGTGCCTGTCAATCACACATGCATACCCACTCAGTGGTGTAGGGGTCCCTTCCTGATGGTCACGGGAAGACCCCGCTCGCAGCCATGCCCCTTCTTTTCTAAATATAGCGCATTATTGAGGTTTTGCTTATGTATTACAAAAAAAGAAAACCATTGCACAATCAAAAGGTATTACAGTGGTAAAGGTAAAGGTAAAGGGACCCCTGACCATAAGGTCCAGTCATGACCGACTCTGGGTTGCGGCGCTCATCTCGCTTTATTGGCTGAGGGAGCCGGCGTACAGCTTCCGGGTCATGTGGCCAGCAGGACTTAAGCCGCTTCTGGCGAACCAGAGCAGCGCACGGAAACGCCGTTTACCTTCCCACTGGAGTGGTACCTATTTATCTACTTGCACTTTGACGTGCTTTCGAACAGCTAGGTTGGCAGGAGCAGGGACCAAGCAACGGGAGCTCACCCCATCGCAGGGATTCAAACCGCCGACCTTCTGATCGGCAAGTCCTAGGCTCTGTGGTTTAACCCACAGCACCACCCGCGTCCCTATTACAGTGGTACCTTGGGTTAAGTACTTAATTCGTTCTGGAGGTCTGCTCCTAACCTGAAACTGTTCTTAACCTGAAGCACCACTTTAACTAATGGGGCCTCCTGCTGTTGCTGCGCCGCCGGAGCATGATTTCTGTTCTCATCCTGAAGCAAAGTTCTTAACCCGAGGTACTATTTCTGGGTTAGCGTAGTCTGTAACCTGAAGCGTCTGTAACCTGAAGCGTATGTAACCAGAGGTACCACTGTACTGCAAACAAATAAACTTCCAAAAATGCCACCCACCAGGAGAGAATAAGGATCCAGACCCCAATCAAGGTGCAATATGAAATATGACGATTTAATGAAATGTCAAATTAATAAGTTGTCCATAGCAGTATTTGAATATTCAGGCAGTAGCTTTCGGATACCATTTTTTTACAACGTTTCTGACCAGCATATACGGAAATGTTAAAGATTAAAGATTTCCCCACGGGCTTCAGGATATCCGCACTGATTTATATATCATCGGGACCACCCTGCCACGCTCTCATGCATTTGTAAATTCAATAAAGGGAAACCAAATGGCCACAAATTGATCTCTTTCCCGTTGCCCCCTCATCACCTGTGGCTTCCGAGAGAGTTTCCCCAGCAAGGCGATGTGCCGAAGTTTATCACACCGATCATTCAGACCTGTCAAATGCACACACTCCGTAGGTGCAGAGTCCCTTTGTGATCGTCACAGGCGCCAACACCCATCGCAGCAAGGCCCCTTCTAAGATTACACAACAATCTCATAATTGTACAATAACAGGGAGGCTTTGCAGTGATCAATGCAGATCTCCATGTGTTGCCTCTCAGCCAATGTACTGTTTACCGTGCACATGCAAGAGGAAAGGATTTGGAGTGCTCCACTATCTTATTTCAGACTTAAGTTGTGTTTTCCGCATAGCTCCATTGTCTCATAGCAGAACTTACACACCGTTCTCTTGAAACTGAAGCACCTTGAGTTTTCTGTGTTCTTAAACGCTTGGCTATGGAACATACAGAACATCTCCTTGCCTTTCTTCCCACACACCTTTTCCAGAGTGACCCGGAGAGCCCATCCTCAACGGCTGACTCACCTGATTTCATTCGGATTGATTCCAATCAGCACAAAGACTGATAAGATTCTTCTTCAGAGGCTAAACGTCTCCCTTCCACGCTGGCTGGGCCGCTGGAGGATGCTGGAGGCAGGGACCCTGCTGCTGAAGTAAAAATGGGACTCTGACCCCCTGCAACCCAGAGCTGCTACACCACTGCATATGGAGAAGGAGAGGGTGCTGATTTGTGTATGCTAATTTCTGGGTATAGATGCATTTAGAAATAGTAGCTGATAGGAACATAGGAAGATGCTTTATACCAGACCCTCCAAGTGTCCCTATTTTCCAGGGACAGTCCCAGATTTACAGAAGCCGTCCCAGTTTCTGATTGGGTCCCAGAATGTCCCACTTTTCCTTAGGACGTCCCTATTTCATCGGAGAAATGTTGGAGGGTATGGAATTATGCGACCCTCCGAGCCAAGGAGATAAATAACTATACAACCTTTAGAAGACATCTGGAGGCAGCCCTGTATAGGGAAGTTTTTTAAAAAAATGTATAATGTTTTATTATGTTTTTATATATGTTGGAAGCCGCCCAGAGTGGCTGGGGCAACACAGACAGATGGCTGGGGTACAAATATGATGATGATGGAATAAAAAGGTAAAGGGACGCCTGACCATTAGGTCCAGTCGTGACCGACTCTGGGGTTGCGGCGCTCCTCTCGCTTTATTGGCCGAGGGAGCCGGCGTACAGCTTCCGGGTTATGTGGCCAGCATGACTAAGCCGCTTCTGGCGAACCAGAGCAGCGCACGGAAACGCCGTTTACCTTCCCGCTGGAGCGGTACCTATTTATCTACTTGCACTTTGATGTGCTTTCGAACTGCTAGGTTGGCAGGAGCAGGGACCGAGCAACGGGAGCTCACCCCGTCGCGGGGTTCGAACCGCCGACCTTCTGATCGGCAAGCCCTAAGCTCTGTGGTTTATCCCACAGCACCACCGCGTCCTTGATGATGGAATAGGATGTCCCTATTTTTATCGGAGAAAGGTTGGGGGCTATGTTCTATGGAGTCAGACCACTGGTCCATCTGCCTCTGTGTTGTCTGCGCTGACCGGCAGAAGCTCTCCATCAGGCTGGGAGACACTCACAGCCTCTAACTGGAGATGCCTGGGATTGACCCCCTGGGGCCTTCTGCATGCAAAGCAGATGCTCTGCCACTGAAGTACAGCCTGTTCCTACATTGGGCCAGAGATTTTGGTTATAACATACAATTTAAGGACTGGGGAAAATTATGGAAAGAAAACCTAAAATTTACAGCATGTATGATGTTAAAAGAAAATGCTATGAAAATGTTTTATAGATGGTATATAACACCGGTGAAATTAGCGAAAATGTAGAAGACATGTAATAAGTGTTGGAAATGTAAAGATAAAGAAGGCTCTTTTTATCATATGTGGTGGGAATGTAAGAAAGTGAAAAGCTTCTGGGAAAGGATATACAATGAACTGAAGAAGATTTTGAAATATACATTTATAAAGAAACCAGAGGCCTTTCTATTAGGAATATTAGGAAATGAGATAAAAAGAAAGGACTGCAAATTTTCCCAATATGCAGTGAAAGCAGCAAGAGTGTTACTGGCCCAGAAATGGAAACAACAGGAAATACCGACGCTGGAAGATTGGAGAACAAAGTTGTTAGACTATGCTGAGTTGGACAAATTGACTGGGAAGATTAGATACTTAAGAGACCAAAAGCTCATCAAGGACTGGGGGAAATTTGTGGAATATCTGGAAAGCATAAGTGAGGGACAAATAACGCTAGAGGGGTTTAAAAAAGCACTGTGAAAAACTGAGAAGTATTGTCTAAAGGGAAAAGAAATGAAGGGTATAAACAATGACAATACAAACTAGGGATGCATAATTAAAATAAATGATTATGGATGATTTACGGAACAGCTGAAGGAAGTCCAGAAAAGAAACAATTTGTGAAAAACTAGATGAGAAATCAGTATGTATGTTTTGTTTTGTTGTAAATTAATAAAAAAAAATTTTTTTTTAAAGAAGTACAGCCTGTTCCTTCAACTGAGCTTGTTCGCCCCAAGCACTGGGGAAGTGCAGTGTGGACCAGCCTGGGCTGCATCATGGGAGGAAGACTGTAACACTAACTTCATCCGCAGACCTGAGCAAGCAATAATGTTCAGGCTGCAGTCCTTGTTCATTTTCTGCACATCCGGCTGTTGTTGAAAGCCACCAGAGCAGCCCAGTCTGGTTTCCCCTCTGCCATTTGGCAACCCATCGGACAATGCAGGCATGCAGGAGGATCAGCTCCCCAGTCACCTGCAACCCAAAGCCAGTGAGCCAGTGTGGTGTAGTGGTTCAGAGCGGTGGACTCGTAATCTGGTGAACCGGGTTCGATTCCCCATTCTTCCACATGCAGCTGCTGGGTGACCTTGGGCTAATCACACTTCTCTGAAGTCTCTCAGCCCCACTCACCTCACAGAGTGTTTGTTGTGGGGGAGGAAGGGAAAGGAGAATGTTAGCAGCTTTGAGACTCCTTAGGGTAGTGATAAAGCGGGATATTCTTAAAAAGTAGAGACATCACCTTGCCAACAAAGGTCCGTATAGTAAAAGCTATGGTTTTCCCAGTAGTGATGTATGGAAGTGAGAGCTGGACCATAAAGAAGGCTGATCGCCGAAGAATTGATGCTTTTGAATTATGGTGCTGGAGGAGACTCTTGAGAGTCCCATGGACTGCAAGAGGATCAGACCTCTCCATTCTTAAGGAAACCAGCCCTGAGTGCTCACTGGAAGGGCAGATCATGAAGCTGAGGCTCCAAGACTTTGGCCACCTCATGAGAAGAGAAGACTCCCTGGAAAAGACCCTGATGCTGGGAAAGATGGAGGGCACAAGGAGAAGGGGACGACAGAGGACGAGATGGTTGGACAGTGTTCTCGAAGCTACCAGCATGAGTTTGACCAAACTGTGGGAGGCAGTGGAAGACAGAAGTGCCTGGCATGCTTTGGTCCATGGGGTCACGAAGAGTCGGACATGACTAAACAACTAAACAACAACAACAACAATGCGGGATATCAAATCCAAACTCTTCTTCTTCTTCTTCTTCAAAGGGCACCACAGGTACGTCTCCTGACATTCAGCCCCCAAGATCCTAACTTCTCCCTCTGTTACCTCTCTCCCTCCCCAGTGAATTTAAACCGAGGGTGGGGAATCTCAGGTGTCCAGGGACCACATGTGGCCCTCTGGGTCTTTCCATCTGGCCCTCGGCCCTCTCCCCTAGGCCACGCCCCTTGCTGGTCTTGCTTTGCACCTCCACACCAGTAGGAGCTCATGCATGCAGAGCAGACACCTGATCGCTCAGCTTCGTCCCTTCCCCAAACAGAAAGCTGTCTTGGATGCAGTCAGGCCACTTGCCCATCTAGCGGTGTGTTGTCTGCACTGACTGGCAGCCGCTCTCCAGGACTGAAACTGGGGTCTTCCACATGCCACAGGGCAAGCGCCAGCCAGGCAGAGGGTCACTCACCCAATTGGGCCACCTGCTCCTGCGTGGCCATGGCCCTCCAAAAACATGGCCACCTTGGCCAGCTCCTTCCCCTTGCCTCCTTCTCCTCCTCCCTGCTCTCTTTCAGCTCATTCCATCTAGCAATTTTGGCGGCCATGGGGAGAGCAGGCAAGGCAGGCAGGGGGGGATGGCTGGTTTGTTCCCTCAGCAGCCGGCGGCGCCAAGGAGAAAATGAGGCAATAAATAATCGGGGGATGGGAACGGATGAGCCCTGGCGCTGCGCTACGGTAATGCTGAAATATGGCTCCGCTGGGTTCAGGGGCGGCGCTTGCAAAGACTCTGTCGCAGAAAACCGAGGCGGGAGCCCGATGCTTCGTGCTGGCAAACTGGAATTCTGGGATGGTACATAGGGTGGGGGGGATGCAACGACATCAAATCTGGCCCCAAGAGAGAGAGAGAGAAATTTAGGGGCCTTGACATCACCCTACAACCCCAGTTTCCTGGGTCAACCAGCAGCCGACGGCCATCGCAGCTAAAACAGAACCTCCAGGTCAGGGGCAGTCTACCACCGAACAGCCATTGCTGGGTGGGGCAAGGACAAAGAGGCAGAGGAGGGCTGCTATGTTCCTGCTCCACTTGCCAGCTTTCCAAGTGGAATACGGTTGGCTGCTGCAGCGGACAGGGCTGCTGGGCTAGCTGGGTCACAGAGTTGGAGGGGTCTCAGTGGGTCATCTAGTCCAACCCCCGCAATGCAGGAATCACAGCTTAAAAATCCCTGGCAGAGGGCCTCCCAACATCTCTTTCAAAATCTCCAATGAAGGAGAGTCCACGGCCTTCTAAGGGAGTCTGTTCCACTGGGTCTTTGGGGCTGACAAGGTCTCTGTGCTTCAACCTCTTCCTTCTGTAACTGTTGGGACACTAGAAAAGCCCTTTTCTGGATCAGGCCCATGACCCATCTAGTCCAGCATTTTGTTTTCACGCAGTGGCCAACCAGATGTCCCCTTAGTCACTCACAAGAGGATAAGAAGATTCCTGTAACACTTCGACCAATCCAGACATCCTGTTTCACTGTAAAATTTGCTAAAGAGAAGGAAGGAAGGAAGGAAGGAAGGAAGGAAGGAAGGAAGGAAGGAAGGGTGCACTTATGAGGACTTGTGTTCATGATGCTATCAAGGTGCTTAGACATGATCTCACATTCAATACTGTTTGCACCTGAAAAAGTTCCAGGGCAGGCAGACTGCTACCTTTCTAATCTGTGCATGCCCCATAGGTAAAGGGACCTCTGACCGTTAGGTCCAGTCGTGGACGACTCTGGGGCTGTGGCGCTCATCTCGCTTTATTGGCATACCGCTTCCGGGTCATGTGGCCAGCATGACTAAGACGCTTCTGGCGAACCAGAGCAGCGCATGGAAATTTACCGTTTACCTTCCCGCTGGAGCGGTACCTATTTATCTACTTGCACTTTGTGCTTTCGAAATGCTAGGTTGGCAGGAGCTGGGACCGAGCAACGGGAGCTCACCCTGTCATGGGGATTCAAACCACCAACCTTCTGATCAGCAAGCCCTAGGCTCTGTGGTTTAATCCACAGCGCCACCCGCACGCCCCATAACTTCCTACTAAAACCCTGAATCTTTCTATGCCACAAACATTATGATTTTTTTTTTTACCTTGTCGTTGTGGTGCTGTGTTAGGTACCCTTCTAGAAGGTAATAATGTCAACCAATAAAGCCAACTGATGTCTGGATGGTCTATTATCCGTCCACAGCTAATGTGGTATGATTGCATCAATGACACAGTGCAGGATTCACCCGCAGAAAAACAGAAAGCCCACCAGTCTGGAGCGGGGACCCTAAAGAACAGCAGAAGAGGCCAGGTCCTGGATCAGGCCGAAGGCCTACCTAGTCTTGCATCCTGTTCCCATAGCGACCAATCAGGTGCCTTTTGGGAATCAGGACCTGAGTAGAAAAGTACCCTTAAACCCCACAACTGCCCCATTTTAAGCGGGACATCCCAGATCATCCTGGCTTCTGTTTGGATCCTGGAATGTCCTGTTTAAGACAGGCACCTGGGCACGAGTCAGCAGGGTCATGTCCAACTGTGCTGATGAGTGCCAGACCGCTGGGACCAGAAGGCGCTCTGGTGTGACCCAGTTGACAATTCTAGGGTGGCACTTTGGGGAACGCCAAAGGGTCATGCCAAAGCACATCTGGGAGGTTGCGCCTGCCAACACAGGAGGAGGAGGAGGAGATGGGTAAAGGAGGGGGAGGGTGGGCAGCAGTGGCAAGTGCCAGCGGGCACACGATGGTGAAGGGTATGTGTATCCCAATTTGCTCTCCCAAAATGTCGGTGGGTACGCACTTATGTACTCTCCCTTCCTTTGTTTTTGCAGCAACTGGTATTCAGAAACAACATCACTGCCTTCAACCAGGGAGGCGAAACATAGCCATTGTGGCTAGCAGCCACTGGTCACCTTATAACTCTCCACAATTTGGTCCAGTCCTCTTTTAAAGCCATCCATGTGAGCCACTGCCGAGTCCTGCATCTTCCCTCGAAATTATTAGCTGTGAGGATATGAGACTGTCCTTAAAACTTTTTATGTTTATTTATTTTTTAACTGTATTGGTTTCCCCCCCCTGCTTTCTGGTTTGCATGTTGGGGGGAGGAAACGGCAGGACAGACATTTTTAGTAAATAAAGAAAAGACAGCTGGTTA